AACTACGTGTCCGGAGATTGATGGAATCTGTCTCTTATACACATCTAGATGTGTAGGTTAACATTTTAATAGACCTTACTAAAGCGATATAGGCCTATTGCTACCAAATACGTGACTATGTCACAGTGATAAAATGTAGTAAATTTTTAGTCGGCGGGTGTTTAAAGCCTAATTATACCCCTGTATCCGCTCCTGCCCGTGGGTCCTCTAATCAAGGACCCACCGCCCCAGAAAAGGGTTGGCAGAGTATTATCTAGAGCCTGGATCCACCACTTTGATCACCAGGCTAATTGTGTAGGTTAATTAAGAAATAATATACAAAAATGAAATTTTTTTTATAAAACATTCATTCATGTGTTGCTCCAGCTGGAGACTATATATTACCACACTTCATTATTGGCTAGAAAAAGGTTTATGGTGTCGTTGTTTTGGCACCTTTTGGACATCAGTGTTGCGTTCGTCGTAAATCAGTGTTTTTATAGATCATTCAAAATTAGCTCTAAAATGCGAGTAAAAACAGCAAAGGACTAAGAAAAAGAGTAAGACTAGAAAGAACATTAGAATTGGTCTACATCAAAACAATATTCAAATTAGGTTTTGCTGCGTAGCATCATTAACACAAAGAAATAGATAAATAATAATAACAGTGCTCGAATAGGAACAAGGTGTTATAAAGGCATAGGCCTTCAACAAAAAGTTCCATATTTAGTTGTGTGAAAAAATGTCTTTGGCGGGATTCGAACCTGCAACTTCTCGCTTATGCCATCTTACCATGATTTCCAATCTGCGACCTTTAAGCTTTTCTAGCTAACCATAACGCCACTATTTTTTTTTTTTTCTTATTTTTAGAAGTCGGCCAATGACAAAAGTTACCTTTTACAGGATTGATTAATAAAATGTTTATATAATATGAAGTTGGAAAAATATCCAAAATTAAACGAGATCGACAAGAACCAAAAGAAAATTCGGTACTGCTCCTAAAACTTTTTGCTATCTGTGGCACTACTTTGCAATGGATATCTTCTTTCTTCTTGGGCGGTACACAAAAAGTTTGTATTTAGAGGAGTTTTTCCCCTTTTCCCCTGTTCATTTTGGGGTTGCACAAGGATCGATTTTTGGCCCATACTTTATAATTTGTTTGTTATTTACCTGAATAATTTATTATCTACCTGTGTTAAAATGTACGCTGACGATACTCTGTTATACAGTAGAATTAGATCTCCTAATGATGTTTGTACTCTTTAAAAAGATTCTGTATTAGACTGGAGTATACCAATTATAAATAATTGGATGTTAGTTATGATTATAAGAGTTACTAGGATTAAAACTATTTCTTACCATATTGGTTCCAATACCGTTGATGAAACTTTCGAATATAAGTACCTTTGGGGTCACCCTGTCATAGACTTGATTGAGGGCCTCATGTATCTAGTATCTATATTATAATTACGCTTATTTCAAGTGTTTGGTTGCTTTTTTGAATCGTGCTCCAATGTTAAGCTCGATCCAGCGAAGTATGGTTTTGTGACTGGGCGAGGGACCACTATGGCTAATTGCTACGGTTAACCATGTAATAGCTCACTGTAATAATAACGGTTCTCCAGTCCACGTATGTTCTCTTGATTTTTATAAACTTGCAAACTACGTGTCCGGAGATTGATGGAATCGTGGATGCTACTTTATCAGTGGTACACGAGCCTCGGCATTCATATTAAATGGAATAGATCTCTTGGTAATTCGATTTCAGTCAGCAAAGTTCACGTAAAGGAGGCTTATTCTCTCCATTGATTTTTAATCTATTTTTGAAAGCTATAATCACTGGTTAAAATGATCTTGAATGAATGTTAATGTTTTCGGCTATGCTGATAATGTTCTAATAATAAGCAACAGTATTACAGTACTACATAGATAATTGATTTTTGCAAGGATACATCACCTAGAATGGCATGAGATTGAATCCACAAATCCGATTGTGTTATTTTGGCAACCATTATTTTTCCCAGCTCCGAATTGAAATCATTCATTCATTCATTCAGTATTTATTTCCATTCTTTCTTTTTCATACATACCGTAACATTTTAAACATAAATATTTCATGTTGATGAACATTACAAATCAATATTGACATAATTAAATATAAATTTTAAAGAAAATAAAAGGAAAGGGGGAATTTCTGAAGCGCAGCTGATTACATGAAAAACCCCCTAATACAAAAATAGTAATTTAATATAAATATACAGGCACTATGCCTTACAAAAACCAGAATATAGGCCTATAAAAAAAGTTCAAATTTCACAATAAAAATCATATTTATGATTTCTATAATATAATAATTTAAAATATCATCTCCAAAGATTCTTCTAATACAATCATTTTTTTTTTGGAATATAAAACTAAATAAAATTGGACAATAAACATTTTAAAAAGCCAAAAAAATTACAAGTATTATAGAAAAATGCCTGCCCAATGTATCCGATTCTATCACATATCTCTGTGTTGAACTCTGTTGTAATCTTCAAAGTGATGTACATATTGCTAATAGAGTCCTCAAATATCCACGTGCTTTTTACTCCTTACAATGTATTGGTTTGTGTAAAAATGGGGCTTCAACTGTCGTCAGGTCACATTTTTGGAAAACTAACCTCTCCCCAATTTTACCTAATTTCTCTCTATGTATTAATTGTCAGAGTAAACACATTGAATCATCTCTTGGTTTTCCTGATCAACTAATTTATATTGCTCTTGGAATACCTAAGATGTATAACGTAAAGAGAGCCATGGAACTTTACTTTGTCTTCCATATTTCTAATAATTTTTCCATATCCAGAAGGTTTTACTCACAATTAGTTATCTGTGAAGGAGGGTACATTAATTGACAGAGTAATGTCAACTAATAGAAATGATATTTTTTCGTTCGCCAAATTTGTTTCGATAAAAAAACTTGATGTAAAAAACAATGTAAAAAGTTACTTGGTAATGGAATCTCTGACAGTATCAGTACAGTACTATGTTACGTTATTCTGAAATATATAATGATGATATTTTAAGAGGATTTTTATCCCATTTTTGATGTCATTTGAACACTGAACATTTTTTTTACTGTATGCTATATTTGTATATTTAGATCACACTGAAATTATAGTATTATGTGCCATATTGGTGCTGTGTGAGATTTCATTGCTTGAACTGAAGTAATGGGTCGATTGTTGTGCGACTGTGTTGTTGTTTGCTGTCTCTTTTTCTGTTATATTTATCTTCTATCATTTGTTATTCATTTGTATTTTTGGATATTCACCTTTTGGAGGTATTTTTTAAATAAATTGAAGTTAAAAATAGAAAATAGTATTTAAGCTACTCATTATCTAAAAATTCAATGCAATTTTGTTTATAATGTAGATAGCAATTAGTTGTCTGACCTGTCACCAGTCAATACATATTAAGAATGATGGACATTCTAGAAAAAGGGAGTTTGGTATCAGTCTCGACGTGTACAACTCCTGCAGCGCTCCATTATCGTAAGTCGCTGTCTTTCTTAAAATAAAAATAGGTCTACACACCTTCAATAAACATTAATGATTGTTATTCTCACAGTTTCTCACCGGCTTCCAGGTACCTGGCCCACTGCCACCCTAGGCCTGCCACACGGTCACAGCATTTGCCACCTTTGGTCCGTAGCCGCAAGGTCTTTTGACACCTAGGCCCGTTGCCAAAGATTCGTGGCCACCCGGCCTTTACATTTATTACCATGATTATTTTTACATATATTTGCTATTATGCATGCATATATTTTTATACTTTTGAATTTAAATAGTAAAGTTTGTCCTAACTAATTCTGTAACAAAAATTGTGTTATTCAATGTAGTGTCTAGTTTTTCAATGTTGTATTTTTATTTATTCGGTATCAAAAACTCAGATAAACCCCATAGAGCAAGGGCCTGTGTTTTTACAAAAAAAAAGTTATTTATATAGTATAACCACAAGACATCTTTTTTTATTTCTGGATCAAAGTAGAAGCCATAATTCCCCTTCCTCACTCAGTTCTCGATGGAGAGAGAATCAACTGGAAACAGTGTTTCTTCATCTAATACAAAGTAACTTGAACAACGTCCAATGGTTTAATATATCATAGGCATTAGAGACATCAAATGAAGCATACATACACAGGACTGTTAGGCGAGACTTTTTTATACATTGTTTAGCGAACCCGCCGCCTGCAAATAATGTCAATTTTGAATAAAAATAAAATTTTATTTTTGGCCAATTAGCGTACCCCAGCACCAAAAAATAGAAATTTTAGAAAAAAAAAATAAAAGATTTTCTTTATTTTTATTACGCCATCCGCTGCCTTGAAATCGCCAAAGATAAGATATGAATAATTCTTCCTAATCATTTAAATTTAAAGCATTTAACCATTCCATTGATACACTGTTTACATATACCAATAATTTTTTTTAATTATTTTCTCCTCCGTCTGGATGTTTTGGGCAAAACTATTTGCTAAATAAGAAAACAAAACTTTATTTTTATTTATTTTTTCCGCCCTCCTCTGATGATCTTAAAAAGAATATAAGTTCGCGAAACAAGGAATCACTAGAATGAGCAGGCGTAAAAGAATAATTATCAGATGGTTTAAAAACTGATACATTAAAATAAAAATTGATTCAAGAACCTTTGAAACCACACATGCAATAACAATGAGTGTAATAAAGGTTGCCTAAGAGTGAGCCTCTATATTGTATACTTATGCAATAGAGTAAGGACACATAAGTCTGATAACCAGATGATGACATGATACCAGTAAAAGAAAGTTCAGTTCAACCTACTGTAATCATTAATGTGTCTACAGTTTATTACAATGAGCCAATAGTGGCTTTTACTGGTAATGTCACGATATATGTATCTATTTTCCTATATTGTACATTAGAAAAATTTCGAAAAAACTCAAAAACAAAACGGGATTACAGCTGTTCTGCACAATCACATGGGCGCAGATCATGGGGGACGGGGTACACACCCCAACCTATTTTTAGGACGGTCGTTCCCCCTCCCCAGCTTTTCGACCGTAATGTAATTTCATAAGACAAGAAGATGTCTGAAAATTTTAAAATAAACTACATAAATGGCCCAGGTTTAACGAAGGAGCGCTGTACAGCCAGAGTACAAGACATTTTACTATACAGTATACGAGTGTTACTTGTCGCTCCTCAAATTTTGAGGAGCGCTCTCAACAGTCAAATCCACACCCACATCAGCCTCAACCATGGTGAGCCTGAGGTGGGTGTGGACTCACGACTGTCCCCCATTAAAAAAAAAACCCGATCTGCGCCCTTTGCAAAATCACCTCTTCATTTGCATCAATTGGTTTGATTAAATGTAATAAATGCTTAACTGATTTCAGGTGTATACGTTGGGAATAGTGCAGTCATGCATTTGACCAGTGGCGGCGCTCCCGTAAGTTGCATAGATCTCAAGAGTTTTAAAGGTGATTCTAAACATTTTAAATTTGAAACATGTCCGCGGAATATCGACCCCAACGATGTCATCAAACGAGCATTGAAGTGTGAGGGTAAACAATTCAGGAACCAAGATTACGACGTGAAAAAGAACAATTGTGAGCATTTTGCTAGATGGTGCTTTACTGGCGTGGCAAGGAGTTACCAAACGGAAAGCTGGTCTACATATATTGGGCTTACTATATACAGTTACATGCCAAAAGTGCCAAACTTGCGTTCAAAAAAAAGCTCAAGCTCATGTCCAGAATCGGACTTGAGCTCCAGTTCATGTCCGAAATCGGATTCAAGCTCCAGTTCATGTTCAAAATCGGGTCCAAACTTCAGTTCATATCCAAAATTGTTTCCAAGTTCCAGCTCATGTCCGAAATCGGATTCGAGCTCAAGCTCATGTCCAAAATCGGACTCGAGCTCCAGTTCATGTCCAAAGTCGGATTCAAGCTCTAGTTCATGTTCAAAATCGGGTCCAAACTTCAGTTCATATCCAAAATCGTTTCCAAGTTCCAGCTCATGTCCAAAATCGGACTCGAGTTCCAGCTCATGTCCAAAGTCGGGTCCAAGCTCCAGTTCATATGTAAAATTGGACTCCAGCTCATGTACAAAGTCGGGTCCAGGAGGCAAAAGCAGTCTCATTTTCACTGTTTGTTGAACACACATTCAATGACAATGAGGAATGTAAATATTTTCGTCTGTACTTTTCCACTCACCTTAAAATGTTAAAAAACAGGCCCAAAATTCTCTTAGTACAGGTTATAAAAAAGTTCCACCATAATTTTAGCTTGTACATGTTATGCTTTTTATTATTATTTTACCTGTAGGCCCACGGTATATTAAGAGCGATTGTCTGTAAAAAAAATCAATCAATAAAGGTGGCAAACTAAGAAAAAATGATTGTGTTTATACATTAGTAATAAACAAGTGCATGTTTCCGGTGTAACGGACAAATTCAGTATTTCTACCATTGTTTACTCTTTTGAAAAGCAAATGTTGGCTAACCTAATCTCGTATTTTGAATATTGTATACATTTCCAACAAATTTAGAATAGTCTAGGTAAAAGACCAATAGTTTCACAATTTCATATTTTAGGATGCATTCCGGTATTTGCAGTTATCTGCCAAATAGGCTATTGGCAATATCTAAATAATTTATAAATCAAAAGTGGCACGTATTTAAAGAGATTTTTCGTGGTAGGTTGTTAGAAGTTGCTTAGTTGAATTACAGGTTTGAAATTTTGGGTAGATGTAAAATCTGTGAGCATTGTTGTCTGAAAATTGGTACCGTATTTTCCAGTGAAAAGAAATATATATATATAAAAGTGACCACCTAATAACGGTTATCTACATATCTACTTTTAATAAGATATAAATTTATGAATTAATTTGTTTTTGTTTATATTAGCAATGAATAATATATGGGTGGTGGCGCTGGCCCCGTCGGGTAGAGCTGCCCCCACCCCCGTCCGAGATCCAGCCATTGTTTCTCACAGCATTGTTGCATTTGTCAGTATTTTGCCTTCTAATTTTAATACATTACGATCTATAATCTATACTTTGATGATGTGAGCTTTTATTTTTTAGATGAAAGTAAAAAATATGTTTAGAAAATAAATACATTAGATTTACATGTTAATGGCAAAGAGTTTTTATCAGAAGAAAAACGTGCTTATAATACTCATAATATAGATATGTTAGGCTGTCTCTTATACACATCTAGATGTGTATAAGAGACAGTGAGACATACTGTTAAAACCTGCCTGTAAACAGTGTAATAATAAATAATATTATAGGCATAGGCCTATATACCGTATTTCTTCCCCCGGTTGATGGCGCCCATTTCAAAATCGTGGGTGTGCAACTTCCTCCCCTTCGCGTTCGCGCCTGTCCCTATAATTATTATATTAGTTTTTTTGTGGTTTAAATGAGCCTTGAGACTGGTTTTATTGTGAAAGGCGCTATAAAAGTGCATGACCATTGGCCGCTACTATTGACTACTACCATTGACCATATGTCACTTTATATTATGCCTATAGACGTTTAGTAGTTTTGTTTATAATAGAGAATCACAGTAATCTTTAAATCAGTAATTAATTTAAAAAAAAAAAAAAACGTTTCACGACAAGTAATTAATCCAAAATTGTGGTTCAAACTGTATGTTTTGTAGAAATAAAATTGGATGTACTTAATGCTTGCGCCAGTGTTTTCTTTTTTTTAAACGAACTCATTTGAATAGAGTGCGCTAGATTAGTAGCGAACCACTTCAAGAAGTTGCTCTTAAGGTTGATTCTAAAACTGCAACTAATGTTACGTCTTGGTGATTAGTAAGATTATTATAGTACCGTCAACAGGGGCGGATCCAGAGACTGTCTCTTATACACATGGGGGGGGGCCGAAATTTGGGCCGATCGAGACAACAATGCCCTAGGGGGTCCGGGGGCATGCCCCCGCAAAAGTTTTGTGTTGTAGACGCCCGAAAATAACATTTGAGGCGTTGTGGGCTATCATTTTTTTCTTTTTCCGTCTTTTTTTCTTTTTTTTTCTTTTTTTCACCTCCCAAAAAGGGGGGGGGGGCCGCCCCCCCCCCCTAAATCCGCCCCTGGTCAACAAAAGATGTACTCAGTATTGATACTACTGTTGTTATCCATCATTCCTTTTCGTGAAAAACCCTATTTCTGTGTAGGCCTTACTACGTACTCTGTCACGGAATTGACACGGTTTCGACCAGCCAGTCATATCTCTCCTGGACAAGATGTACTTGATTACTATTCCAGCCTAGGAATACGGAAAAAAACACGAAGAGGTTGAAGGGCAGGTAGAAGGGTTCATAAAATTACGGAGCACCTGGAACTTTCAAAGAATCAGAAACACGGTCATTGTGACGTTTCTTTTTGTTTCTTTAACGCACGATCAGTTCGCAACAAAGCCACCGCAATTTCTGATTTTGTTCTGGAACACGATTACGATGTAGTTGTAATAACGATCGAGTTATTGAAAATGCTTTAACACCTAGTGGATATACGTTTACCCATACGCCGAGGAATCAAGGAAGACGTGGAGGTGGAGTAGGTGTGCTTTATAAATCTGATCTTGGCTTTTCACTTCTTGACAATAAATGTCGCTCTTATGAATGCTGCGAACTTCAGTCTAAAAAACTTAATCTCAGAGTTGTTGCTACTTACCGTCCTCCAACTAAACTTGACAGCTTCCTTGAAGAATTCTCATCTTCGCTTGACAAAAACTTGCTATCTAACTGCAAATTTTTATATATTGGTGATTTCAATGTTCATCTATCTAATGATCATGACTCTCAAGCTCGTCAATTTCAAGATCTCCTTAATGACTATAACTTGGTTCAACATGTTTCTCACCCTACTCATAATAAGGGTAACCTACTTGACTTAATTATTACTAAGAATTCCACGTCTATTATTGTAACATCAGTGACAGTGGTTTTATTTTTAGTGATCACTCTGTGATTAGTTTTACAATTCCTGACTTATTTGATAAAATGCTTACAACTTCTTCATCGAAATTTGTTATGTATAGAAATATTAAGGCATTTAATTTTGATGAATTACAAAATCATTTAAATGTTGAGTTTTCTCTTAAAGATACTAAGCAATTGTATACAGTTGATAAGCATTTTATGTCATTTTACAATACTTTAAGAATAGCCATTGATAAATTTGCCCCAGTTAGAGAAATTGAGATTAGAGAAAAAAAGAATAACAAGCCTTGGTATAATCAAATTCTTAAAATTGCAAAACGAACCGTTCGTAAATCTGAGCGTAGATGGCATTTAAGTAGGTCTGATAACGACAAAATTGAATACGTTAAAAATTTGAAGCAATTTAATAAGAAACTTAAACAGGCTAAGACAAAATACTTGACTTCTTATTTACAAGATTGTTCATACGATAAAAGGAAACTGTTTAAAGTAATTAATAAACTTGTTAAAGGAACACCTACCAACTTATATCCACCCCATAATAATACGATACATTTAACTGAACTCTTTTCTAACTTTTTCCTTGGAAAGATTGTTAAAATTCGAAATGAGCTCATCCTTCTCCTGCCTTACCTTCGCCAATCGTTGTCCCTCCACCCATTAACTGTGCTTTTTCTTCATTTACTTTGGTTGAGGGCTCTGATGTTCAAAGATGTATTTCATCTTTATCTTCAGCCTCATGCTCCTTAGATCCGCTTCCCACCAGTATCTTTAAAATATGTGTTAACTCCCTTATTGAACCTCTTACCTTTTTAGTTAACAAATCACTCTCTTCAGGATGTTTTCCTTCAGTTTTTAAATCTGCTGTTATTAAACCTATTTTGAACAAAACAATCTCTGGACAGTAACTTTTTTGAAAACTTCCGACCTATATCCAATCTTTCACTCATTGGCAAGCTCCTTGAGAAAATTGTTGCAAATCAATTTTTATATTACCTATATAATTTTGAACTGCTCAATCCATTTCAATCCGCTTACAAAGTAGGTCATAGTACCGAAACGGCACTCACTAAGATTCATAATGACATTGTCTGTGCTTTTGATCGCAAGCGTGCTGTTGCCCTTGTAATGTTAGATCTTTCGTCAGCATTTGACACAGTTGATCACAAATTCTTTTACAACGTCTTTCTGTTTATTACAAAGTTTCCGACACTGCTCTTAGTTGGTTTAAGTCCTATTTTGATGAACGGACCCAGAGATAAATAACATTAAGTTTGCCCCAAAATATCTTAAATGCGGTGTTCCACAGGGATCCATTCTGGGTCCCCTTCTCTTTTC